AAAAAAAAAACCCAGTACATCTGATAACGTGTGAGAGTGGAAAAAAAAGAGTTGAGGGTCAAAAATTGAATGAGCGCGTCGTTTCAAGCAATTGTGTATGAAGTACCTCTCGAAGGTATTTCATAGTGATACTAAATGATCAACCAAGGCGAAGCGCCAAACTGAAAGCATGTATTCACCTGAGGTAGTCGGAGTGAGCTTCAAACTGATGAACCCTCTCCAAGGTATTGTAGTTGAAGACCCTGACATGCATGTCGTCTGACCCAGTCACAACCCAACTTTTTCGAGGAATGAACTTGGCAGCACGCACTGGCAGATCACATACCTTAATTTTTTTCTCAAAGTTGGTAAATCTCAGGAAAAAAAACATATTATATCATATTCACGATAAAGTCTAGAGAAATTGAATGCAGAGGAGGTAAAAAAGAGCATTAGCTCAAAATACGCGCATCAATCGAATGGTCAAAAGCTTTCTAACGCGTTTCGATGTGCTATATTTTCGGGTATGAACGACTACTTCGCAGAAAAAAACAGCGTTGCGTCTATTTCATTGATCTATTGTGACAGCTACAACAGAGGAAAACTGAGTATTATTGTGTTGCCTAAAAACGTATTTCAACGTGTCCCATAGTGGCCATGCTGATAAGAGGAGCTAGCATGAGCGAAGGCAATAAGCATACCGGAAGAAAACACAATTCACTAGGAAGAACAAAAGTAAATGTTACCTCAAAAGACTTCACAAGTTGTTGATTCTCATAATTCCAGATGTGGACATTTCCATTGTATAGAGCGGCCAAAAGCCATGGCTCTGTAGGATGAAGATCCACACATTTCACACGGTCCGATCTTGCCAAAAGCTTTCTTTTTACGTCCAACCGCAGTGGCATCCCTATATTTCCTATTTGGTTTTAAGTCAATAAGAGCAAAAAGGAAAAGCACATACGAAGAAATTTGAAAGATAGGAATGAGAAATGGAAGACGGGAATTAACTGAAAAACGTCCGGTTTCTCAGTGAACAAAGGAGGCTATTTTGCGCAAAAATTCTATCTTAGGCAACTGAACCTGCCACATAGAACACTATCGAAAGCATACCAAAATCGATCAGATCCAGCCAGGCCCTGAACAAATTCGCCAACTCAATGTCCGCAAGTCCGCAATCGTGGCACCCAAAAATGCACAAGCGCCCGCATACCGCAAAGCGTAATATTAACCACAACATTTTTGAACATATGGCAAAAGCTTCACCTCCGATATGGATCTAGGGTCAAATATCCTTCTAAATTTTACATATGAAACGGAGGGTCAAGGCTTTATCGACTTGTAATGGAGTGACGGTAAACGGACCCGCTCGTGGGGAGTTGTTGCGATTGGAGCAATTTTTATCATTGGAGCGCGTTATTTTCCAATGAGCATTTATTCGCTATTTCGTATCTTTTTCATCGAACTGTCCACTTTAACATGATTTTCATGTGCTTATCAAACTAGTGTGCAAACATATAATTGCAATCTGTCACCTAACATGGAAAATTGTCTAACATCAGGGAGTACTCATGGAGTTGATTTTCCGCAGTTAAGAATTCTGGTGTCTCTGATCTTTGATTAATATAGTCAATAAGGTTTCAGTTTATGATAGAGAGCAGGTTCTGATGTTAACTTGAGATGGTACCTTATTCAGAAATAAAGCATAGGCTTCCCTATGCTAGGATGAAAATTGTTAGTTATTACAGGAACTAATCAGAATTATGATTAACTATTCACAGATAAAAATCTTACCTTCGTCTCTTTAGCAATGAAA